TTTTCCTGTAAAGTAAGGAGCGGAAATTTTTTTATGTTGGTATAAAATTAGACTAAAATAAGCCTAAATTATGGCATACTCAGAATGTGAAAAATCTAAAGGTGCTCTGCTAGCTTGATACGTATCTGCTCCCTTATACTTCTGGAACAGGTATATTAGTAAAAAGATTTGATATATCTAATGAAATTAAATAGTCTGTGTCATCCATCTTTATATGCCCACAATAGTTATGAAAAGGTCGCGGTGGACAAGGATAAAATATAATGTCCAATTCCTTTTAAATCTAATCTAATCTTTATATGGTAAAATTACCCGTAATTGATATGTCATGCATGGCAAGTCAAATTATTATTAACTTCCCTCGTGCCCCTTGTTTATTTTTGAAAAAAATTATTAATTTCTGTTTAATTATTAGTTTTGTATTTACCTTTCAATACATTGACTACATGACTTTCCATTTGGATGAAAGTAATTACTTCGAAAGCGGTCGCCATTAAATATGTTAGGTAAGTGAGATAGAAAGGACTTGTCTTTACAACCTTCGTACTCAATCCCAACTAATAATCTTTCCTCCATCATCCCAACCACTCATATGTAGGCTACCCTCATTATCACTCCTAATTATTATTTTCTCTAAAACACGATATGAAAATTATAAATAGCATAGGTGTATTAAGGAACATTATTATATTATGATACCTAAATGTAAAATTCATATTTTAATTTGAAAATATTTTTTTAAATGTTCATAACTCTATCGGTGACATTTTTAAATGGTGACATCTAGCAAATAATATAAGCAAATATTATTATGTCTTCAATACTTAAATGGTATGTTAAATTATATCGCCAATCTCTTGATATATATAGGTATGTTGTTCTCTTTTGGTATTATCAGTTTTTTTAATAGTTTTTCTTCGCCAAAATACTCACTAGAAATTTTGGGTCTAATTGTCCAGTATGATAACATAAAGGTCATAATACTCATAATATTTCACAACGCTTTTGCTACATAAACAATTATTTACTTTACGATACTGTGTGTCACTTGATTTGCCCAAGAACCAAGAATTCAAGGAAATGTAAAGCGTCAGAGAATTTATTATTAAATTGAAAACAAAATAATTTTATTTCTATACACACGTTTGGACAAAGTATGCGATATATTTTTTATAATAATGACTAGACATTATCCAATTATAGGTAGGTATATTAGGTATAAGCAGGAAGGTATATGAAAAATACGACACAAAGAAAGTATCAATTGAATGACAATGTATTAAATATGATCTTACAAGAACAAGATCCAAGGTTATCAAACAAACTGACATCAGATCAAAATAAACTTGTTTTTATCAGAATCGGCTAAAGAGATTCTAAATAAAAGTTCGTTATTCTTCCAGTGGCAGAGTTAACAAGGGGATTATTTTGGTGATAGTTATTTACGTACCAAAGCCGTAAAGTTGATCTTTTTTTGTCGGACGAATCAGAAATTCGCTGCCGAGGCGTAGCCGAGGCTATTATTCAGGACATTCTAAAACTCTACCCTTATTCCATATTGCACGGTTTAATTCTTTGGAAAATTCCTGTGGATAAGAATTTACTTTCCAGTTGTCGTTTTAATTTTGATTAATTTGATTATAAAAAATGAATGGTAAATAAACTCAAGTCTAGAAAAAATCAATTCCAAAGAGTATATATGTAAAAAATGTAGATTGTAAAAACATCGATTGTTATAGAACCGTGTTTGTAGAATTAATTTAGATTGCCAAAAAATCGATTTTAAAAAGGAATAGCAATTCAAAAGAAATAGTTGAAAAAAGGAATAAAGTTGTTAAAAAGATTCGATTGTAAAAAGAACCGCATGTAAAAAATCGACATTAAAAAGAATCGATTAGATGAGATTGGGTTTAAAATCTAAAAATGTCATTTTTTGATACGTTCGAATAAAAATGAATTTAAAACAAATACACAACTAGGTATAGTATACAATTTTTATCAAGTTTCATATATTTTTTTTTAGAAAAGTTTTTTTTACCTGGATCCGAACCCTTGTTACGTAATCTAAAGCCAAACATAGAAACCTGCCACATCCAGATTTAACCTATGTTAAACAGCTGATTTTAATTTATCTTGTAGTCGTAAGAAAAATAATGTGCATCACTTGTGCGAAAGTAATTTTTTGTTCAGTGTGATTATCACTCTCGGTTAGCGTCTATTCCAGTTGGGTAAAAATTTACTTTACTACACAAAATGTAATATTATACAATTTCGAATTTTGCTTAATTTAGCATTCAATATACAGTGTGTGCAATTAAGTCGGCACCATATGGAAAACTTTTTTATTGTTAGTTTGATGGAAAAAAGTTAATCTTTATAAAAAGTTCTGCATGATCTAACTTTTTAAATACAACCATCAACTATTAAATGTTTTGAGCCCGTATACGAGGTGCGTCAAAAAAATATAAATTTTGCTTCCGAGAAAAAGACTTTAATATTTGACAAAGCTCGTATACGAGTGATAAAAATGATATGGTTGTATTTTAGATTTTAGACCATGCTCAACTTTTTATGAAGAATAACTTTTTTAAAAAATAATAATAAAATCTAAAATTCAACCATCTGATATCAAATTTTATAAGTCGTATACGAGGTTTGTTAAAAATAAAAATACTTTACTCTAAATGTGCAAAATCACATTTTTTGACGCACTTCCATACACGGCTCAAAAAATTTAATATATGATGGTTTTATTTTAAGTTTTAGACTATGCAGAACTTTTTATAAAGAATAATTTTTTTCCATAAAACTAACAATAAAAATTTTCCCATATGATGCCGACTTAATTGGACACACTGTATTAATAAAGCAATCAGTTAAATCGGACCTGTACATACATTTAATTTCTCATTTAATAGCTATTATTGAAACCAGTTACGAAATGCCTTATTTTATGTGACGGGTAAGTATTTACGGGACGAGCAGAGCGAGGACCCGCAACATTAACGAGTTATATAAAACGGCATTTCGTAACGTGTTACATACAATATTTTTTCTAATTGTGACTAGATTGTTTATAAAATTGTATTTTGCTAAAAAATTACTGAAGGCTAGGCAACCAATATTACTACTTGTTTTATTGTTATTTGCGTATGATTAACTTTCATTGTTTTATTTGAAAAATAGAAAATAATATTCATTTATACTCAACGTATCGATGCCACCTGTCCTTTTTTGAAAAAGACAGTTCTTTTTTCAAATACATTGTCCTTTAAAAGGACCTGGTTTCTATAAAAATATAAGCCGATGATCTTTTTTTTTTAGAAGATCGGCAGAAGGCTGATTTATAATAGAAAATAAGGATCAAAACAACATTATTACTAGGTTGTAAGTTTAACCTGTCCTGCTTTGATATAAATTTTCAACAATAATGTATATTATTAATTTTAAGACAAAAAAGGTTGATTTTTATTTGTTTTCTTCTCGCATACCTAAGGAATTTTTAGAAACCAGTTTCATATAATGTTCAACATTATGCAACTGGTTGTATAAAGTAGATCATTTTGACGCTTGCTGCGATTACAAAAAAGTCACTTTATATCAGGGTTCGGAGGATATATATCATGATATATATCATGATATTTATACCTTGATATATATCCGATGTCTTCGATAATTTTATTTATTAAATTAAAAATGTTTTCCACTATTCTGAACATCCGAAAATGTCTCAATACGCCCCTGTATAAAAGTATAATAATTAACGATTTATACTCGTATGTGTTTGTGTTAAAATATTAATGTTAATAAAATAATGTTAAAATCTGTTTATTTTATTGAATTATTTGAAATATTTTCTTAATTTGAGTTAGAATAAACGGTTTTGTTGTTTAGAACATAGGATTTTGTTAATATGTTTGTGTTAAAATTTAAAATATAGTTTGTGCAAGAAACAATACTATTTTTTAATTAAATAATTAAATTTTAAAAATATATATCGGATATATATCCGATATACAGGGTGTTAAAAAAAAAGTGTCACAAAATAAAACGGGGGGTAGTATGGGCCAAAATATGCAGAAAAGTCTTAATAAACATATGTCCGCAAAAGAATGGTTTCAGAGATACGGAGTGTTTTGTGTTTTGTATCATTTTTTGATTATCTTTTTTCATTCTCAAAAACTTGCTTTTCTTATCGGAGTCTACCGATGTTTTTTCATAGATACTATTTGCACTTATTATTTTGTTGTGGGTGAATAATTTTATAAATTTTCGTTATGCCTGTTTACACTAATATTGAATTAGCTGACATGCATTTTATGTACGGTCGTGCAAATGGCAATGCGAGGTAAGCGCTACGTCAGTATTTGAACATCTCATATAACTCTATGTTGTTACTGATTGTTTATAAATATCATTGTTTTTTTATAATAATAAAAAATTGTTATAAACACAAAATGGTCCGTATCTCCGAAACCGTTAATTTGCGGTCATATATTTATTAAGACTTTTCTGCTTATTTTGGGTCATACTATTCACCATTTCATTTTGTGACACTTTTTTTTTAACACCCTGTATATCAGATATATGTCATGTGATATGATATTTATATAAATATGATATTTTCGAACCCTGCTTTATATGTCTAAATTAGAAAATAGTTATTTATGTACCAAGTCAGGAAAGTGATGCTCTATCGAACTAGTCTGAGATTATGAGCCGAGCGAGAGAAGCGAGTAACAGGCGAGTTCGATAAAGACACTTTGCTGACGTGGTCCATACAAACTTGTATCGCCAACTGTAAATAATTATAATTAATAAAAAAAGGAGATAATACAACATTACAATATAGTATGACAAAGCAAACAAACAGAAAAATAACAGCGAGTACAAAACTTATCAGTTACAGACTATTTCTGTCAGACGGTCATGACTATGAATATTAGCGGCAGATAAAATATTTGTGATTTGTACAGTGAGATAAAGTGTTAGTTTAATTCCGCAAATCGCTATGATAATGTATGGCTTTATTGATGGTTGGCGATAAACTATATTATACCCTCTATGCTTCTTGTACTAAATTTTAACATTGTCCTGAACCATGCCCTAAATAATATAGTTATTACTACCTAATTAAAAATTGATCCGCCACTGTTCAAACACATTCATCTTATTCATTTCATCTTTAAACATAAAAAAACGAATGACATCGTTATCATACCATTTCTTCGCCTTATTTATAACTAAACAAAAACCAGATACATTATAACGGAAGTTTGTTAGATACAGATCCATCTGGATACTCCAAAATGAAGTTTGTTTTTATAATTTTCTTAGTTTTCGCCTTTTTAGTTTGTTGGACACAAAGTTATCAACACAAACTGTTGGTAGACAGAATTCGATTTAATTTTTTAAACATAGAAAATAATTTGTGGGACTTCGTTCTCGAACAACACAAGGATAGCGACATCGATCCTGGTTTGGAGATAATCAAGAGATTTAAGGATTTTGATAGTCAGGTCCAGTTGGTAAGATTTTCTTGTTCCTATTTTATACGTATCAAGCTAGCAGAGCCCCTTTGGATTTTTAACATACTGAGTATGCCATAATTTTAGGCTTATTTTAGGCTAATTTTATACCAACCTAAAAAAAATTCCGCTCCTTTCTTTATACAAAAAATTAGGTGCTCTGCTGGCTTAACAACAGGTACTTATTGCGTTTTTCATTAAAAACTTCAACAATCTAAAAAAAGTATAATGGCATAATTTTAGACTCATTTTAGACTAATTTTATACCAACATAAAAAAATTCCACTCAGGCCTTTATCGGAAAAATTAGGTGTTCTCCTAGCTTGACAATACGATTATATAGTGTTTCCCGTTAATAAAATAGAGGAAACTAAAAAATAGACACGTAATAATTTTAGGTTCACTTTAGGCTAATTTTATACCTACCAACTAACCAAATTAGGTACTCTGTTGGCTTAAAATAAGCCTAAAATTATGTCGTGGCTACTTTTTAGTTTGCACAACTTTATTAAAGGAAAACACTATAAAGTCGTATTGTCAAGCTAGCAGAACACCTAATTTTTCCAAAAAAAAAGCCAGAATGGAAATTTATGTTGTGTTGGTATAGAATTAGCTTAAAATGAGCATAAATTTATGCTTTTATAATTTTTTACATTGCTAAATTTTTTAATGAAAAACGCAATAAGTGCCTCTTGTTAGGCCAACAGAGTACCTAATTTCTATGAAGAAATTTTTAGGTTGGTATAAAATTAGCCTAAAATTATGACGTAGTCAAAATTTGAAAAATCCAAAGGTGTTCTGGTAGCTTCATATCATGCTAGCAGACCACCAAATATTTCCTATAAAGAAAGATGAGCAAAATTTTATGTTGATATAAAATTAGTCTAAAATGAGCCTAAAATTATGACGTATCCATTTTTGAGTTATTTCAATTATTTAACGAAAAATTCTATAAAGTCATATTGTCAAGCTAGAGCATCTAATTTTTCGGATAAGGGCCAGGGTGGAAATGTTTTTATGTTGGTATAGAGGTAGCTTAAAATGAGCCTAAAATTATGCCGTTTTCATTTTTTAGATTGCTAAATTTTTAATAAAAAACGAAATAAGTACCTGTTGTTAAGCCAGCAGAGTACCTAATTTTGTGTATAAAGACAAATTTTTAGGTTGGTATAAAATTATCCTAAAATTATGGCGTGATCAAAATTTTAAAAATCCAAAGGTGCTCTGCTGGCTTGATATCAAGCTAGCAGAGCACCTAATTCTTTCTGTAAAGAAAGGAGCGGAAAATGTTTTATGTTAAATTGGCAGTAATTCATCCATAAAAAATTTGACGGATGGGCACTTTCGAGAAAAATTTTTTGACGAACTTTTTTGAAAAAATTAGCAGTACTTCGTCCATAAAAATTTTGACGGATGGCCACTTTCGAAAAAAAAAAAAATCCAACTAATGTGTTGATGTTTATATTCTTATTTAGGTTGATGACCAACGGAGTTAACGAACAGCGCCAATTCGCCAGTTGGTTAACTACGGGGTTGATGTTGATTTGATTCTATTCTAGAGGTACAGCTCTTAGGGTAAATATTTCGATGAGTATAGAGGTGATGACCAACGGAAGTAACGAACAGCGCCAATTCGCCAGTTAATTATCTTACTATATTGATTTCACATATATACTTTGTTTCAAACCTAGTAGAACGGGTTGCTTAGCATGTAGGTGTCCCCCTTTGAGCTAACGAACAGGGGATTCACCAGTTGGTTAACTTACTATTAAACTTTACCATCTTGGTTTGTACAATTTATCCAAGATAGCACATCATCCCTGTATATTTCTAAAATATTGATTTTTATAATTTCTATTGAGTTAACTTAATACAACCCTGTATATTTTTTTAATATTGATTATTATAATTATTATTTAAATTATTTAATACAACCCTGTATATTTCTTAATATTGATTATTATAATTTCTAACGAAATAATCAAAAATTCACCAATCAAAACAGATTTCTATCCTAACTGTCTTTCGGGGTGTATGACCTGAAGACCATGTGGTTTATTGGTAAAATTGATAATATTTTGTAGCAAATGTCAAGCCACCCTTAAACGAAACCCCGGTGGTATCTCAAAGAAAGTTACATAAATCTTTTGACTCACCATTGAAAATACAGACATTAAAAATTATGTACTAATTTCGTCTAGCGTTGTGACGGCGTCAATTTAGGTACGTCGCAGCTTTGAGCGTCGCCTTGCGTCGAGGCGTCCAGCGACGTGGTGGGAAGGAAGGTATTTATTACGGTACTTCAGTGGGACAGATATACGGTAGAATTAATTAAGTAAGTGGTGCGGGACGTGACGAAGGGTGTCGACAAGGATATTATGAAGGAAATATTTAGGGGCGGCAAGCGTCGGAAATAAGGCGTAAAACGTTGACAGCGTTCGGGAATAGGAGATATTGTAGGATAGACGTTTTTTAGGAAGAACGTTTTTAGGAAAGGTACTGGCTACTGAATTGAAATATAACTGAGTACAAATAATAAATGAATGCTTGCCCATCAACTAATGAAAATGAGTGCATGCACATCAAATAATTAAAAATGAAATGAATACGAGCTCATTTGGGTCTGGCTTCTTACACTAAAATTTGATGGCTTTTGTGACGTCTTTATGTCTTTAGTTCTCATCGAAAATATGAATGTGGGCGCAAAAGGGGTGGGTTATTTATTACTTGTCTTGAAAGCTTTGTGTATCGAAATATTGTCGATCGGTCTTAACATCGAAACTAGAAAGATAAGCGAGTTTAGTATTTTAATGACAATTACTTTGTGAAAAGAAATATTTTTTATGGTGTTTTCTTGTTCTAGGGTCTCAGCCACGTGCACGAAATTTGGATCTTTTACGTACGTGGTTATAGCTATTATTTATTAGGTGTCGTAAATAAGATTTAATTATCTGGAAGTTTTTTCGTTAAATGAAGGATTTTGAATTTAATAAGAATGCAATATTATATTAAATAAATGGAATTAATAAATTATTAAGGTACCTAGGTACGGTAGGTTATAGTTGGTATAAAATTAGCCTAAAATGAGCCTAAAATTATGGCATACTCATAATGTGAAAAATCCAAAGGTGCTCTGCTAGCTTGATGCGTACCTATTCCAATTTTATATGATCTCGGTAGGTACCTAGATATGTAAAATCTTGAATTGTCAAGTCATGTTGTTATTAGGTATTCCAAACAAATAAAACTCGGTTGCTAAGATTTGGCATGTCTAAAAGGTTACGACATACGATGTAGTCTATCTACAATAAGTGAAATCATGAATAATGGATTAAATTTAAATATTTTGAATATTGAACACGATAAAAATATTATTTAAAAAAAAACGCCCATACATTTTCTATAAATTGGCAGGCTTGGCGACTACTATTTATAATAAAAATAGCGTCCAAGATGGAAGGCTATGTCGCAACCCCTTCCCACTGGCAGCTATTGTTTGACAGGTCTTTGGAATTATTTATTAATTTTAATTGGACACCTTATATAGTTTTTTATTTAATTAACGGAGGTATTTATAAAAGTTTTCGAAATCTTCCAAATACTATGTAGTGTCAAATACCCAGCGAATTTATAAAAATTTAGTTTCTAACTTAAGTAGCTCTGTCCTAATATCTGACATCATGACGAAATATTTGTTGGCTATTAGTAAGGGCGCATTTTGAATATGTATAAAAAGAATTCATTAGAACGGAGGCATTTTGAGAAAAAATCGAGTATGTTTCAAAAATTCAAAAAAATCAATTTGTTTCTAATATATTTTATTTTAAGTTACCTCAAGATATCTTATATGGTATTAAAGCACCCCGACAAGCTGAACAATTCGTTTTACTTTACTCGGACATAAGAATCATCCACGATTTGTACGACAAATTTATAAGATATCAATTGGAAGCTTTAACGCTTGCCAAAAGCGACTACTCTGAATATAGACGAGAACTCAAAACTGAAGATATCGTAGACGATATTTTAGACGACGCTAAAAATAACGTCAATAAGACTATATCGCGTGTTTTTGAAGAATTTTCGGGATTTGGTGGGGTAAGTTTTATAAAATGTAATTTAAAAATACTTTACAGGCCACAAAAAATAATACAGTTTTATTTTGTAACGTACCAGTGATCAAAATTAACAAGACTAGAATCATCTAAGTGTTTCTATTAATTTTAGATATTTTCCACTAAAGATTATATTTGCGAAATTCCTACCCAACCACCACAACAAGTGTTCTACAATCTATATAATTTGCTAGCTCTTATAGATCTTAAAGGCTACATATTGTCACAATTTGCTTATATGGCCATGAGACTACAAGAAATAGGTAATGTATTTAATTCCAGATTTTTACTATAGTGGTTTTAAGCTAATGGGTCCAATGATTGAACGTTTACGTTATCCGTAACGTACATATTAGGCCGAATTTTAAAAGTAACGAGGCAAGTTCGGATGATGGAAAACTGTTAAATTAGAAGATAACAGGCGGAAAATAACAGTAACGTGTTGGAAAAAGTTTTCCATCATACGAACTTGCCTCATTACTGTTAAAACTCGGCCTAACATGTACGTTACGGATAACGTAAACGTTCAATCATAGGACCCAATTTTTCATATTTGAATTTCTGTCAAAGAAAGAAAGAAAGAAAGAAAGAAAGAAAGAAAGAAAGAAAGAAAGAAAGAAAGAAAGAAAGAAAGAAAAGATTAAGAATTATAATTATCTTTTCTTTGTAGGTAATTACACAGAAATGTCCTTAAAGGCCAGAGAGGAATATAAAACAAGAACCAAATATCTCATGAACTCAATGGCTGGTATTATGAAAATTTCAAATGGCAATATTTACAGATGTGATCCAAAATCACATATAGAAGGTAAACTATGATGATACACGATTCGGTTTTAATTTATTGATCAACGATTATAAGTGCATAATTATTGGTTAAAAATAATGACGTCACTGGTACAAAATGAAGCTAGCCGCAAACAACAAACATGTCGTCATTTAGCCAAAATGCTTTCAAATCTTAAAATAATTACATTTATTTTAGGTGAGACATACACTCAATTGACGCAACTGCTTCAGGCTCACGTTCAGAACGAAGTAGATTTAAATCCTACCGGGACATGTACCGAGAACTGCGCCATGTACACATCTACCAAAAATTACGGTTGCTATGACAGTTCGTCCGAGTATTGCAGAAAAATGAAACCCTGTAATGGCGATCTGTACAACTGCAGATTCGTAGAATCGCATTTAAAAACGTGCATAGCAGTAAGTAGAGTTTACGCTGATCTATAATATCACAGATTACGCTGATAATCTGTAATATTACTTATTACGCTTATAATCCGTAATATCATAGTTTATGTTGATAATCTGTAATATCGAAAATTATGCTGATAATCTGTAATATCACAGTTTATGTTGATAATCTGTAATACCACAGATTACGCAGATGTTTTGTAATATCATAGATTACGCTGATGACCTGTAATATCGCAGATTACGCTGATAATTCGTAGTGTCACAGTTTGAGTTGGTATTCTGTAATATCGCAGATTTCGCTTATAATATATAATATCACAGATTGGTCTGATAATCTGCGATATCACAGATTGATAGTGTTTTGTTCGAACCGGCGGTTTTTAGCCTCAAGGCAGCACAAGAAGGTACGACTTCATCGAGTACGATAGCGGAAAGGTTTACGGCGAAAAAACTAGATGTCTGAAACGTGGCGTGGAAAGTTGGTTCAGATGGTTCGTCCATTGCTCGTACTGTCTTTGTCTTTGCGATCAGCAGGGTTCTCAGTCTGACAGATACTTCAATTTGAGATCGGTTTCCGCTGATACAAAGAACAACAGGTAAATAGATTCTGAGGTCAATTTTTAAAATAAGTATTGGTTATCTTAACGATCTTATATAATCGATTTTTTACAGTCAATACTTTTTACAGTCGATTTCTTTTACAACTGATTCTTTTACAGTAGATTCTTTTTACCTTTTTTACTATCGATTCACAATGAATCGACAATTTTTACAATCGACTCATTTTACAGTCAATTCTTTTTTTAATACCTTTTTAAATTGTTTCTTTTTAAATCGATTCTTTTTTACAATTGATACATATCTTACCGTCAGTACTTTTCGCAATGGATCGAGATTTTTAAAATGAACATTTTAGTTTAAAATTGTTTTTTACAATCGACTCCTTGTACAATCGGTTCTTTTTACAATTAGTTCTTTTTACAATCAGTTCTTTTTACAATCGATTATTTTAAAATCGATTCTTTTTAAAATATAATCATTTTAAATTAGATTGGGTCGTATGATTGAACGTTTACGTTATCCGTAACGTACATGTTAGGCCGAATTTTAAAAGTAACGAGGCAAGTTCGTATGATGGAAAACTGTTAAATTAGAACATAACAGGCGGAAAATAACAGTAATGTGTTGGAAAAAGTTTTCCATCTTACGAACTTGCCTCGTTAATGTTAAAACTGGGCCTAACATGTACGTTACGGATAACGTAAACATTCAATCATAGGACCCATTATTTCTACAATTAATTCTTTTTACAATCGATTCTATTTACCATGTAACCCTATAACTTACCTGTATTTCCTTTTTAGAGTCGTGACCGGCATGAAACTCGTTAAACATAACCGAATTATTTATATTCAAATACAGGAGGGTAAATTATTACCTCATGGTTATATAGAACAAAATTCGACTAGATGGGTACCGCCTGCTGGATACAGAATAACAGATTATGGCGTCAAAAACGGAAAAGATTACCATACTATGAACTACTACAGTAGATCGTTGCTTTTAGATAATTTAGAAGTAGAAAGAGAAAATTATATAATTACTGGTAAGTACCAAAGTTTGGCTGAGGTTATATCGTATGGAATTATTTTAATTTCTTTTTAGGTGCAAGATTTTTTGTTTACAATGGGGATTTGCAATTTCGAATAACCATAACGCCATTTAATTTCAGTACAGGCCATCTGTACACCGATGAATCATACGAAGTTAGTAAAAGAACTAACAGGTATAGTAATAATAATAGTAAACAGCCCCAGCACCAGAGATAAGGAGGAGATATAACTACCAACAAATTCGTGCAGCCCTGAATAAGACATATTCTAAGGGACACAGACGGGTATAATATATCCGCTGTTGTCATATGCCTATTTCATTATTCTCGTTTTGTTTACAAAATTATTTACATATATTTAAAAAACTAAAATAATTCAACCTATGTTATTGCAACTGAACCCAAAAAAATTTGAATATTAGTTATATTAAATTTAACTAAATTAGATGTAATTTCACTAAATTAGATGTAATTTCACTAAATTAGATGTGATAATTTTCAATAAATTCCAAAACCTAGTGATGTTAGATTGGAAGTGGCAACAGAGCTTACACCGGCTGGAAATTTATGTTGTGTATTATAAGCGAGCGGCGGCTTACACATTTATTCATTGATAAAAATAAGTTGTGTTTGCGTAAAATTCTTCTCTTTATCCCTTCTCTTACTTTTCACCTTTCGTCGCCTCGCCCCGTGTCTAGAAATAGAATGTATCGATTGTCGAATTAATTTCTGCATCGTGAATATTATATTTTATCAATGACTGCTTATATCTCTGTTATCTCTGCCCAGCACCCAGCCTACCATAGTTAGTAATATTTTTTCACTATTGCAATGCGGAACGTAGCCTTAAACTCAACACATACGTCGATGAATTTTTGGACTAGTGACGTCACAATAATAAGGCATTTAATTTTAAATTGGTTTTAAATGTTGCTTATGCCTATTACTGTTTATCACTAAATCTCGTGTGAAACATAGCATCTTTTTTTTTAAATCATTTCTGTTTTAGGAAACGAATCGAATTATGGAATCCAGATATTCCAATTTATTCTCCCCGCTCCGAACCTAATTTCGACGATGGTAGATACGTCGAATTTACTCATTCAGATCTAGAAAAAGATGCTGGACAAACTACGGTTCCTTTCATTGATATTCAACCAGTTTACGCTGATCCCCCTGTGCCTTTGAGATCAGCTGGAATTTACTACAAGGGAAAATCAGGTTATGGGGGCTTCGTAGGAATGAAAGTGGGGGTTTACGATTACACAAATAGCTTGATTTTTGATTTTCCAAATGCCAAAGCTAGAGAGGACAGCGGGGAAGTCTTTGGTGTTTTGCCTAATTAAATTGTTTTTTAAATTAGTAATTAAACTGTAATTTTACGTAGTAAAGGTTATGTATCAGATATAACAAAAAATGTGATTTTATTTTAAATTAAAATAAGATAAAAATGAAGATTCCTGTATTATTAACCTGTGTCTGCTACTGAACTCCCCACCAGTGGAACGCTACACGATTCTGCCGACCTAATAGTCTAAGATCCGGAGTAAGGTCGACCTTCACCCATTTGTTTAACGGATGAAAGTTTTTTTTTATTAAATATTTCCTTAAAGTAAAAAAGAACGACACCCTGTAAAGTATTCCCCAGATGCTTCGACTATGCCCAAAATTTAATCATTTCACCGCAGGATGGATTAAAGCTTAAGTTTAAAATTTGGTGTTCTTCTCTTTATCCGTTTTATCTCGAATACGGTCCATTTTAGGGAAATCATGTATAGGACCAAAATTATTACTCGTTTCACGCTCCCTCTACCCTCTAGTAGTATTTGCTCGGAGGTTTGTGCCAACCTTAGACTAGGTAATAAAGAGAGGACTCATAACGCCGCTGAAAATCTTTTTCCATTCTGACACATGATATTCGACCAAAGGGGTAACATGTTGAAAATAAAAAAACGAACTTGTATTTATGTTATTAGTACTTTATTGATCTTTTTATGTATAAAGCAAGTTCAAAGCGTAAAATTTAAAATAAATAAGACACAAGAAAAAAAATTTATTGAAATAAACTAAATGAAATCGTTTACATAATAAAATGAGTGTTTTTTTTTAAATTCCGCAAAATAAAACATAACGATCTACATTTATTACAAAAAGATGTATTTTTAGTTAATAAAGAATGACACTATTATTAAATTAAGCTATTAAGAAAAATTATACATAAATGAAGATACATTTATTACTGACCCTCAAATAATACTAATTTGGTATAATATAGCGAAACTACTCTTTTTTTATATCTTTTAAGTTTTTGTTTAAGAACTTTGGTTTGTCTTGTTTTTTCTTTATTCTTTGTTACCTATTGTAAAAGTTGTCTTCTAAGCCGTTTTATACTAGGGCTTTCTAGGATAGATTCCTTATTTGTAGTTAGTTCTATTTGAAGGGCCTGGCTCAGCTTTCAAATGAAATGCTCTTCTTTTTAAGTCCTACAAACAATCAATTATTATGGTAATGTTTTGAATTATACACAAAATGGAGGCTAAATTATTAACAAGTGCATAATATAATAATGAAAAGTAATTAAAAAAATATATATGTTTATTAGTATACGCTCCTTCTTCGACTGCATGTATTTAGGGAATTTAGGAAATATAGTGGGAACTGCTCCATTAAGTAAACGTCTTTCAAAATGTTTTGAACACAATCTATCATTTGGCGTAGGCATCCAATTTGCAATTTTCGTTGCCTAAATCAAAAGATTTTCTTGCTGGATCCACAGGAAATCTAAAATAAAACAACAAATAAACATTGCTGCAATTAAATAAAAAGCAAAAGTAAATTAGAATTTAATAAAAGTTAATATTTAGAATTGTACGACACGCCACTGAAAAAAATTACTTGTTCGGCTATTTTAATATCATTAATTGCATAAATATAAAAAGCATAAAATAAACAAGCTTGGTGGGTAAAATGTATAACTCTGGAGTGAGACATGTACAAGATGTAAATACCAAGTTGTATAACACCAAATAAAATGAAAAATATAAGAAAATATATATAGTAAAAACGATTGATGTTTATCATTTACCTGTGAAACGTAATATCTGCTTCTTTCTTGCCGCTATAACTTTTACACTGATATGCCACACAATAAACCATTGTAATAAACCAATTATTAAATATCGTTTAATTCAAAAATCAGAAATAAACACGAACAAAAACTTTGGTGTCACCGAAATAATGGCGGCTAATCGGCACAGAATACTACGTGTGCTCAATATACTTGTTACGCGTCCTCTCTTTCTAGTCTAAGGTGCCAACAGTGAATTATTATAGGCAGAGACACTGTTATAGGTCTTTTTCTACGAACTCTTACAAAAAGACATCTTTCGCCACAGGATACTTTCAGCGAAAACTTGATTTCCGTCACTAGTGAGAAAAAATCCCATAACGTTTACTTTCGACTCTAGTGACGAAAGTAAGTTGTTACATATTTTCATATATCAGTCGCCTCGTATAATATTTTGGCAGCTTATAATTATTAATAATGAAATAAAAAGATGCTCATTAAATTCTATATGCGTTTTTACCTAAACTATAATGAATTAAAGATAAAATAAAAATGTATAAAAATAGTGCAAATTAAACCAATCTACATCTAGTTTCTTGGTTTTCATTTGTTTATTTGAAGTTTTATCACTTTTGAGAACTGTCAGTTTCAGTTCGTCCTAAATTTAACACATTTTCATGATGTCTGAGCCAGAAAGCGATTGTACTCCCCCAGAAATTATTTTTAAAGCTGAAGAAACCTCTTCAGATTTATTACCGGCCAAATCAAAAAAGAGATATGAAGAAATTTATATCAAATTTTTGGACTGGAGAGAAAAAAATAAAGTGAAATCATTTTCGGAAACTGTACTACTAGCATACTTTGGAGAAATATGTTCAAATTTTAAACCGTCGACGTTATGGTCCATTTATTCGATGCTAAGAACTACACTCTCTGTTAAAAATGATGTCGATATTAGTAAATATCCAAAGTTACGTTCGCTTTTGAAAAGAAAATCTGATGGTTTTAAAAGCCAAAAATCCAAAAATTTTTCGCCTGAAGACATAAAGACTTTCCTAAAGAATGCACCTGACTAGGGGGTATTAGTTTTTGGATTATCTGGCGCTTGTCGTTGCCACGAACTAAAAGATTTAACAATAAGCGATGTAAAGGATACTGGAAGTATTCTGTTAGTTAAAATCCGTAATACAAAAACAAAAGTTCCGCGTTCTTTTCATATTTCTGGACTCTTTTATGATATTTCTAAAAAATATATGAGCCTACGTCCCGCAAACATGGATCAAATTAATTCAAGATTCTTTATTAACTATCAGAATGGAAAGTGTAGCAGACAGGTTGTTGGAATTAATAAAATCAGTAAATTTCCTAACGAAATTGCTCAGTTTTTAACGCTTCCGAATCCTCAAGATTACACTGGGCACTGTTTCCGCAGAACATCCGCAACGCTATTAGTGGATGCAGGAGGTGACTTGCTTCTGTTAAAAAAGCACGGTGGTTGGAAATCTAGTAGTGTTGCGGAAGGATATGTTGATGAATCCACGAACAGTAAAAGCCAAATACAAACCAAAATTTTACAATCTGTACAAAATAAGGAAACTACTAGTTCATCCGATTATGGCGCATCATCATCATCATCTGAAATGACATTTAACAGTAGAACAAATATGTCGGCATCTACCTCAATAAATAAAAAGCTTGAGTGTGATACCCCCATAATTTTGAACAATTGTTCAAATATAACAATAAATCAATATTTAAATAATAAATAATATTTCTGAAATATTTAATTGTTGGTTAATTTTTTGTTATTCCTAACACAAAATAAAGCATTTGCTAACGTTTTTTTTTTTTTTTTTCATTTTAGTAGGTACCTACATGACAATAGAGTTCGTAGAAAAAGTATAGTGTTTTACTCGTCGAAAATCATTTTTTCGTCACTCGTGAAACAATATACTATTTCCTTTGCATCGAAAGTGTAGCACTGCACTGAGCTACGTCACTTCTGAGAAAATCGAAGTGGTGTAGCTCAGTGCTACACTTTCGATGCAAATATTGGCGATATACTGGTTGCATAAATATGGTGTCTGACCAAAAGAACATTAGATCAACAAAACGTACTGTGCAAAATAAGGCGACGTTGCATTTCTTATGCTGCGTTTGAGAATCCACATCGGATGCATCTGAGATGTAAAAAATCTTTGATCACGTGATGCAGTATACGTAAATGTAATGGGACAGATGTGTCCGATGTTGATAAAAAAACGCTCGAGATGTAAAAAATGCATCCGATGTGGATTCTCAAACGCAGCACATGTTCTATGTCAACCTGTTGGTGTCAAAGTCATGTCGAAAATGTCAAATAACAAATAAATGATAACAGTAGTTCAAATGGTTTAAATACTCTAAAAATCAATTTATTTTAACTTTATTTTATACTGGTTTAAATTGGATACCAGTAACCATCAAATAGTGAAAATTAACTTAAAATGTCATATGATATTCGTTTTATTGTTGTTTGAAAATACTGTACTGATAATGGCAGCAGTGCTCAAGTTTTATGGTATAAATAATTTAACAGCAAAATTTTCCTTGATATCAACTGAAAGATTTCAAGTAGAATTACAGGGTTTTGATGAAGATACCGTTGCAATATTCAAGACAATACCGTCTAGAAATTTCAGTAAGTTATTCCTTCACTGTTTCATACATTTTTTATCATTTTTTTTGTAACATTCAGGTCCACAAACAAGATTATGGAGCTTTTTAATAAAAGATTACGACTTACTAACTTATAAATTGCAACAATTAAGGGGTAAATTAAAAATGGAACTTATCCCTTCCTTTGTTTTGAACTGTATGAAGACACAGAATCATAATGTTGAAATAGATTTCAGTAAACTGGACCCAGTTTTGTTTTCAACTCTTTTACCATTCCAAATTGACGGTTTACAGTGAGTAATAAATCTAAAGTGATTTGCTGTTAATTGAGGGTTTAATTTTTCAAGGTTTGGTATAGACAAAAATGGTAGATGTCTGATAGGGGATGATATGGGACTCGGGAAAACATTTCAGGCATTAGCTTTAGCGAATTATTACATGGAAGACTGGCCTGTTTTAATAGTTACAACAGCTACAATGAAGTAAGTGTATATACATAATATAGTTCTTAGTTTAAAGAAAGCTTTATTTTTAATCTGATTTATATGATTTTTTGCAAATATTTCGGTAATAATTTATTGTACACCAGAGAAACAATTTTTTTTTTTTAATCTGAGAGACGTTATGTTGGTGGTTCCCACCTTATTGTGCCTGAGGCCCCCACAGGCAATCTAGTAGCATAAAATCCACGTGTCAATTTGATTTTGAATGAAAGAACAAAATATAGTGAGAACCTCTTAGAGATTTTTGGTCCTTCTATCCCTTACGCCTGCCCATATAAATAATATTTGGCCCAATTATACATTTAATATGTCCATGTAAAATATTTGGTCACTTTATCACTTAAGCCTGCCAATTTAAAAATATTTGGACCATTTACCCCTTAAGCTTGCCTGTGTAAAAATATTTGGATTATTAACCATTTAAATGAGGTCCATTCTGGAGTTCGTTAATACTCGTGCAAAACATTAATCTTTAAAAGTTTTAAAAAACTTTAAAATTAAATTTATTTGGTGTATAAGAATGATGGCTATATTTAAAAAATACCTGTGGTTCCACAGTTGACAAGCATGGGTGTCAAGTAAAATCAGTACCCACGCTACAGTTCATTAAATAAGCTCAAATGGATAGAAGTTTAAAAAACTGATATTTAAAGCACTAAAGTTAAACCGAAAATTAATAAGGTTCTCGACTCAAAGAAATAATCAAAGAATATCAAAATCGCAAGTCGATCGGTGCTTTCGTTTTAGAGTTATCGTGTCAGCGCACATACATGCGCACGCACAGAAAAAAATGGAGAAAAGTGATAAAAAGTAGGAGTGAGAAATTTCCTCGTCAGCATGAATGCAATACTAAGGGGCCTCAGTAATTTTTTAATACAGTCTTTTAAATAGTCAAAAAGATTTTTGGAAAAAGCACAAATTCTGCTGTACTTATATCATAAACTGTTAAGTATGCCTTACTTCCCCTTATGATGTGTTTGTATCTATGATATAATATATGGTGGGGAATAAGCTTAGGCAGCGCAGTTCAATTCCTGATTCTTTAATATAAGCTTCATTTGCTCTAAAGGAACAGGCTGACGGCTTTCCTGAATTTTTGATATGTTGCAGTCGTCCTATGACTAGTTTTTTATACTTGGTGCGTCACTCTCAACAGGACGGAGCCTGGTGGGTAAACTACAAAATATATTAAAAATTCCTTTGACACAAATATATCTCAGAGGCGGCTACAATTTAAAATTAGTTTCATATAATGTATCCTGTACATTATATGAAACGGAATAGCAATATAAAGTTATATTTTTTAATTTTAAGTACAACTCTTAAAAATAATCCTAGTTTAATAAAGATTCCCCATACTTATCTATCTTTGATAATTGCTGATTATTTGTCATTTTTTAAAAAAATGTTGAAATTAATTAATTACCTACTCTTGATTACAAAATAATTGATTAACGAATTTTTGTTAGTTTCCTACAAAATGCTGTGTTTTTATTAGACTCATTAAAATATTCAAAAAATGTACGGGGTGTTTGCAATTTGAAGTTTTATTATAGCACAATGTTTTATTTAATTACTACGTTAATTTAAATGTCACACCCTATAATTTATAGTACCAATATGAAGGAAATTTTATTTACTTTCAAAGTTCTATGTGGTTACATACCTATATCTACTATTTTTAGACCTATTATCAATAGTTTCTATGCATCAATAAATTTTAATCGTTTACTAATAATTTCATATTAAAACATACATTTATTTATACAGAAATTTTCCAAAAAAATAAAAATTTGTAATAATTGTTCTAATTAATAACTAAATTAAAAATATATATTTTAAATGTTTTATTTAGATTATTTAAAATCTTCAAACTAACAGTCCTCAAGGGTATTACGAATATTCATTTGCATAGCCTCAGTGGTTTTCGGTTAAAATTTTAAAAATTTATTATGATCAAATTGCCTGAAGGTCTCACTAATTTCTTACTTATTAGCAGTAATTTCCTTGCATTAATAAATTTAATCAAGTCGCCTTTAGAAAAATGTATAGGTGAAGAGTAGGCCATAATTGTCAAAATATCAAAATTTTCTTTAGTTTTAATTACTTGAAACGTGTGATTTTATTTTTGGTGAATTGATAGTTGCGATTAATATAAATGATGGAGTATTCGAGAGAAGAGAGAATAAAATATGATTTTAATACTTGGAGAATGTTTGGAAAACTGTTTATTGGCGTCTACAGTTTATGCAGCACGATTTCCCTTCCAAGATCATCCCAAGAAAGAAGCTTTTGAAAGACTTAAGAAGATTTCCTGAAACTGGTACTGTTGCTTATGGAGAAGCTTACCATAAATAAGCCCACAACAGATGACGAAACTAATCAACAAAATTTTCTTCTATCCGTCATCGAAAATCCTAACCCAAGCACAAGAATTGTGGCAAAACCGTTAGACTTAAGCTAAACAACTGTTAGAAAATTTCTTAAAAATCATTGTTATCGTCCATTTTAAATTCAGACGCACCAAAATTTGTATGAAACAAATTTTGAACCTGTTTATGGTTTTTGGAAAAAACAGGAGATGAACAATTTTTTGGTCAAATACTATTTACTGATGAATCTACTTTCCATAATAACGTTTTTATGAATAGACATAATTTTCATTATTACAACACCGAAAATAAACATGAATTTTGAACTGTAGATCGACAAAACCGATGGTCGTTAAACGTTCATGGCCATTTAAATGGATGAAATTTTTTTAATAAAGATTTCTGGAACCTTCTAGAGGATATTCCTTTTGGATATTAGACGAAAAAAGTGGCTGCAGCTAGATGGTGCTCCTCCCATTTTTCGTATAATGTCAGGACATATTTAAACCAAAAATTTCCTGAAAAATGGATAGGAAGAAGAGACCCGAGGGGGAAACCACAAAGGTCAAAATGTACCCGTATTTCGGAAATCATCTAAAATTATTTTATATGATTTCGCTGAAAATCCCCCTTAATTTTATACGATAACCTTTTTTTTTTGGGACTATTCCCTTGTCTTTTGATTAACAAGCTTCTGCATTTACATTTTCGAGCGACGAATTGATTTCGAAGTGATTTCTGTGACCGTTTCGACTATGATTTCGGAAATAAGAAAATTTGCTTACCAGTATTTCTAATTGCCCCCTAGATCACCCGATCTAAACCTCTTTAGATTTTTTCTTATGGGGATATGTTAAAAATGTAGTTTATCAAACTCAGCCGACCACCGCCGAACATATGAAAACACACGTTCGTAATGCGTTTGCTATTATTAATTTAGAGATTGTAAGTAATGTAAAAAAAAATGAAAAGCGAATTAGAATGTGCATTGACAAAAATGGACATAATTTTGAACATTCTAAATTTTAAATTTACTGACATATTTTGGAATAAATATTGTTTATTTAATGGCTTTGTTAAAATAAAACTATTAGTAGATGTTTGAAATTTATTGAATCATTGAAACTATTGATAATAATAGAATGGTATAGGAAACCTTATAGAACTTTAAATATTGGTACCATAAAATACAGGGTGTTCCATTTAAATTAACAGAAAACATTTTACTGTAATACAACTACAAATTGCAAATACCCCGTACATTTTTTAAAATATTTATAGGATCTGATACAACATTCCGTAAGGAACTGCCAAAAATACAGGGTGTCCCATTTAAAATAATATAAATTTATATTGGTATTCTGGTATGGGACACCTTGCATATATGAAACTAATTTTAAATTGTAGCCGCCATTGAGTTATATATTTGTGCCAAAGGAATGTTTAATATATTTTGTAGTTTACCCACCAGATTCAGTCCCGCACCCTGTATACAGAGTGTAGAATCGTCTTTTAATAGGTTAAATATTACAGAGCGATCTGCCAATTAGTCTGTTTTTGATAGTACGCCAAAGTGAACGTCTTGATTTTGTAAACAATGAAAACAACTTGAGAGCAGTAATAAAGTACTTTTAGTTGAAAGGCTTGACACTGACCGAAATCAAAGCAGGGCTGGATTCAACCCTATTGGAATCTGCTCCTTCGTTTTCAATGGTTAAGAACTGGTCGTATGAGTACAAATGATGAACCCTGTAGTGGCTGTCCAAAAACTGCTGCTGTCTGTATATTCAGACACAGTGGGTATCTCAAATAACAGTGTGCACAAAATTTTAACTGAAGAATTGGAAATAAACAAATACTTGACTCATGACAATCGTAAAATATCAAAAATTCAGGGAATTTAATCGAAGCCCATTTCTCTATAAGTCGCCGGCCAGGTCCTTTAGTTACAAAACTATAAATTCTCGACAGAACCCAATGGGAAGAAACAATTTCTACATACCTACCGTCCGTATCGATAATGCAAGTCCAATACATGATCACCGGGAAAGATTACATCGGCGAAGCGAAAATTTTAATCGTATCTCATGATATGATGAGCCGTTGTCTAGAAAAAATTATGGATCGAAATTTCGGTGTGATAATAATAGACGAATCGCACATTTTAAAAAGTTACAAATCGAAGTGCTACCACTCTGCATCAAAATTAGCTAAAAAAGCCCGACGTGTAATATTATTGAGCGGAACGCCTGCTCTATCACGTCCTAGCGAACTCTATACCCAGCTCAGTTTGCTGGATTCAACGTTTTTCGGCAATTTCTACAAATACAGCGAACGTTATTGCGACGCTAAGACGACCAAATTTGGTTGGGACCATAGCGGCCATTCGAATCTGCAAGAATTGGAGTTGATTTTGGCCAAAAAATTCATGATACGTAGGACCAAAGATCAGGTGTTGAAGTCCGTGCCAAATAAAAAGCAGGAAGTGGTCACTTTGAATACGAAGTTGAACGAATTGCCCGAGGAGGATAGGAAGTGTTTGAACGCCTTAGGGGAGCAATATATGATGAAGAAGGGGGCCGGTAAGCACGCCGCGCTGTTGACATTCTTTTCTGAGACCGCCAAGATCAAGATACCGGCGATATGGTGAGTAATATTTTTGAGATAAATTGCATGTGTTAGGGTTGCCAACAAGTCTTTTTTTTCTACGATTGCTATTATACAGATTCGGTTTAAATTTTTATTTGGTATTGCGAATTGACAAGAGGAACAGCGACAGCTTCATAGAAACACGCGCTATATCCCACTTTGTGATGAATTGATTAGTGGGGAGTCGTTCCTCCCTGTTGTTAAAGTTGTTGAGGATGGGGTAAAAACTGAAGAAAGATGTTAAAAATACTTTACTAATACATGTGGTTTTAGTATAATATAAAGACAAGTGAAGTTTTTTGGTTAAGTTAGAATTTTTTTTTCTTCTTATTTCAAATATGTTTCTACACCCTCCCTATTTGACTTTTCACACACTTAAAAAACTTAAGTCTGTCCAAAGGTTTTGTCAACGAATCGGCAATCATGGATTGAGTAGGCACGTATTTTAAAATTAAAAGTCCATCATTTATTTTTTCCTTTAAAAAATGATGACGCACATCGATATGTTTTGTGCGGACTTGATAGGCTCCATTTAAAGCTAACTTCTGAGCTGCTTGATTATCAACATATAACAGAGTTGGTTCTGAGGTCAAACTTAACTCTCTGCTTAATCCACAAAGCAATAAAGCCTCTTGAGCTGCTGATGACATAGACATATATTCAGCTTCCATAGTGGAGAGCGCTACTGTCGGTTGCTTTTTACTATTCCAGGAAATCAGACAACCATTTCGGAGAAAAATATATCCAGTCACCGATCTTCTATCACCTTGATCATTAGCCCAGTCTGCATCACAATAACCGATTATATCTGAGTCACTAAGTTTCTCACCATTAAATTCGAGTTTATAATCAATAGTCCCTTTTAGATATTGAAGTATTCGTTTTACAGCAGACCAATGAGCAGGACCAGGATTCTAATTAAATCTACTCACACAATTGACAGCATGACAAATATCAGGTCTTGAAATTTGTAAAGCAAATAACAAACTGTCAACAGCTTCTTGATATGGTACTGACTCCATTTTTTTATGTTAATCGGTACTGGTAGGTGATTGACTTTTTGACAATTTTTCACTTACTGATGAAGGAGTATCCACTGGATTTAAATTGTCCATGTTAAATCTGTTAACATTTTTTCTATGTATGGACGCTGACTAATCCAAATTCTTTTATTATTTCTATCCCTTGTAATTTGAAATCCAAGGAACGATTTTGCTTCACCAATATCTTTCATCTTAAAGTTTTCCATCAACTGACTTTTAAGATCATTTTTATCTTTCTTATTATTGGACAAAAGTATCATGTCATCTACATATATTGCCAATATTAAGATACAATTTTCATTCATTTTATAATAAATACAGTGATTTTTTTAAACGACATACCTTGTTTGTTTCATTGAAACCTTCAGGAGGAACCATATATATTTCTTCATTTAAGTCGCCCTGAAGAAAAGCTGTCACTGCATCAAGTTGGTAAATATCTAGGTTGTGTTCGGCTGCAAATGATAATAAATACCTTATCGAGCTATATCTGGCAACCGGTGCATATATCTCTTCAAAATCTATGCCCTTTCGCTGTGCACAACCTTTGATCACTAACCGTGCTTTGTACTGAGGCATTGTTTCGCCTTCTTTATGTTTGGTTTTGAAAACCCACTTATTATTTAAAGGTTTCTTACCTAAAGGCAAATCTACAAGATCCCAAGTTTCATTTTGAATCAGTGTGGCAGTAAGTACGTAAAAAAAATAGCAAATGGACTGAATTTAAGGGCAATGACTGTACTTACGTACACACTTTTCTTCTTAGCTCGTTGTTTATCCGCCTATGGAGTGGAAGAAGTGGAGGGTTGAAATCAATAATCTTCACAAAAATAACACTTGTATTTATTTTTAAACAATGATTATGCTGCCAACACCTGGCTTTAACGTAATCACACAAATTTTCAGAGAAAAATACCAAAGGGGGGGCACATTTAATATTATTTTACCCTTGTATACTCGCTTGCCGTGTAGTTTTATAAACCTTACATCCTCTACACAATGCCGGCACTTCACATAACATAAACGGTTTTGGTTTACAAACCACGCTAGAGAGCTTGAGTCACTGTCCAACACCAATCCACTCGTCCAGAGCACAAAAACAAGTTTCCTAGATGTGAATTGTGTATTAATCATAACATCAGGGCTTCACGGTCCTCCCGCACCCGAAACCGGCTTAATTCGTACGGCCTAAACCTAATTAAAGTGAGAACCATTCACACCACCGCTTCAGACGCCTACTAGCCCTTTTCGGCCTTTTCACAAACATGGTCGCTGCTTGCGCATGGAGATCTTGCTCAACTCTCCTTCCGGACGTTATGTTTTATAAAAGGAAATGACATGCTCATTTCCGGGCGGCAAATTTCAAATTGTTTCGCGCTAATTTTTTAAAATGTTTAAAATAAATAATTTTTTTCTTGTTCAGAAAAGATTGGTTTCTGAACAATTAGAGCTTCAAATTCATTTTTCATGGCTTGAAACCAATAATCTTTATCATGTCTGTTGAGGGCTTCTTCCACTGTTAAAGGATCAGAATCTTCTGTGATTACCTACTGTAGAATATGTCACATAATCCTTTAAAAAATCAGGTACCTTTTTTGTTCTCTGAGGTCTGTTAACAGGTTGACATTGTATTGCAACTGCTAATTCGGGTTCAAATATCGAATCATCTGAGTCAGTATCAGTATGTTGGTCAATTTCATCATGAGATAATACTGCTGGATCAACATATTCATCTGAGGAAGAACTTCTTGAATCATCAGATTCATCTAGATTTTCTTCTGCTACTTCATGCCCCTGATTTTTAGCTGAAAGAGATTCTGGAAAGAAAAATTCCTTTTTGTTTTCAGGATCAACATCTTTTAACAACACTGAACCTTTTTCATTTTCGATAAATTGAACATCTCTCGACACAAATACAATATTTTTTCAGTGTCATACAACCTATATTATATGCCTTAGATTCTAAACTATAGCCCATTGAAAATACACAGTGTTGCTTTATGATCTAATTTTTGCCTCTTCTGAGTAGGAATGTGTGCAAATGCTTTACTGCCAAATATTCTAATATGTCTCACTGTTGGCTTAAAACCACTCCACAATTCTTCAGGTGTCTTGTCAATGCTCCTACTAGGTAATCTGTTAAGTAAATAAACTGATGTGTATACTGCTTCAGCCCAAAAAATATTACGTAACGCTGCTTCAATCAATAGACAACGAGCTTTTTCTATGATTGACCGGTTAAGCCTTTCTGCTTTGCCATTTTGTTCTGATGTGTACGGAACAGAAAGCTGATGCAGTATACCTGTATTCTTAAAAAACGTTCTCATTTCTGTATTACAGTATTCGCCGCCATTATCTGTTCTAAAACATTTAATTTTCTGACAGTTTGCGTTTCAACAAACTTTTTGAAAATTTTAAAATACTCAAAGACTTGATTTTTATGTTTCAAAAAATAAACAAACGATTTGTGACTATAATCATCAAGAAATGTAAGTACATATCGTGAACCAGATAGTGAATTTTCCTGCATCGGGCCACATAAATCTGAATGCACTAGTTCTAAGGGTCTTGATGAATGAGTCTCACTAGACTTGAATGGCAAACGGTGACTTTTTCCTAATATGCATACTTCACATTTAAAATCAGGTGAAAAATTATCTGAAAAATCAATGCCATGTACTAGACCATTTTTTAATATGTTGAGACTATTTATGTTTACATGTGCTAGGCGACGGTGCCACATATTACATTCTTTTTCTGTAGATACACTAAACATGACTTAGCCATTAGAAGTGGGTAAAAGTGTATCTAGTTTAAATAAATTGTTATCAAGTGTGGCAGATGCAATTAGTTCATTAGAATTAAAAAATTTTGCACCTACAGAGTCACAAATAACAATGTTGCCTTTTTTAACAATCTGACTGACAGACAAACAACAAATTTACATTTAAATCGGGTACAAAATAAGCATCATTTACTGTTATAGGTTTCTTATTGACTGCTAATGTTAAGTTAACATCACCTATAATATCTGTGTCCATTTCTTCGTTATTAGCTGTAGTAACAGTCATTTTTGCAGATTTTCTTTCTGATTGCAGTATATCGCGACTTGCTGTCATATGAGCTGAACAGCCAGATTCCAAGTACCACACATTATTGTTTTTATTATGCACTGCAAATGCGGAAAACAGTGACAGATTACTAGAATTGTCTTTATTTTTGTCCTTACTGTCCCTTTTCTTATCACAATTGCTGGCATAGTGACCGTATTTATTGCACTGATAACAATGCACACCTTTTGATTTATGATTATATGAAGACGGTTTGTCCTTAAATTTACTTGAACCTGAACCATTAGCTCCATACATAGCTACAGACTTTTGATCATCACCTTTCACTACTGAAATGTCCTGTAAAAGTTTAGTTTTAATAGCATCTGCTGTGATTGGAGTGCCTGAGCTCTCAAAATCCATAATCATCGGTTTGCAGCATTCTGGTAAGCCGGCTAATAAAATAGTGCCTACCCACTCATCACTAACCTGTAATCCAATGCTAGAAAGTTTATGTGCTGTCGTTATTATTGTATTTACATAGTCTTCCACGGAACTACTATTGTTTAACTGAGTAGTTATTAGAATCCTTAATAAACCTACACGCCGCGTTAACCATGTGTCCTGAAACGCACTTGATAAACTGTCCCAAGCTTTTTTCGCGGATGTTGCCGTCTGAACGTGAACATAGTTCAAAGGTTCCACTAAAAGAATTATTTTCGAGCGGGCTTTAGTCACCTTTTTTTGATCTGTTTCTCTACCCAAAACAGCACCCCACAGTTCTTCGTGTTCTAAATAAGTCTGTACGGCAAACTTCCACGTATCATAGTTCTCACGGCCTTTTAGTTTTTTAATCGGAGGCAGCTGATAACCTGACATTATGTTTGACACTTAAAACTTGCGGACACGATAGAAACAACTCATTGCAGCCTACTGGAGCTCTGAGCCTGTTAAAGTTGTTGAGGATGGGGTAAAAACTGAAGAAAGATGTTAAAAATACTTTACTAATACATGTGGTTTTAGTATAATATAAAGACAAGTGACAAGTGAAGTTTTTTGGTTAAGTTAGAAACTCTTCTTTTTCTTCTTATTTCAAATATGTTTCTACACTCCCAAGGTGTAAATTTGATTTTATTAAGTTTAGTAATGTATAATACACGTTAGGGTGTACACCTAAATATAGCAGTTGCTTGAAATGAAAGATATTATTTTATCTTTTAAAATGGGTTACGAATTTAACAAATCAATCGTAGAAAAAAGTGTGCAACAAGTGAGAAAGACAACACTTTTCCCATTAGTGTTATAGTTACTATTGTATATTCCTCAACTAAATTTCTCCGGGATAGCAACGCTGTAATGTTGGCAATCCTAGTAGATTTATATAATTGAATACGTCTATTGTTTACAGTATAAAAATAATTAGGCATTCCAACGACCTGTCAAACTGCTGACAAGTAACTGACATTTAGATGTGGCGAGCCTGGTGTCATTGACGGTTAATAATACATATATTAGGCATTCCAACGACCTGTCCAAATGGCTACCAGTGGGTACTGACAGTTTAGATATGGCAACCCTGTTGTCATGTTGTCATTAACAGGGTCAATGATACATATATGTTATATACATTGCTCAAAGCTGGTCGTTTGCGAGCAGCCATATTGCCTGGCAAATATTTATTAATTTAAATCAGTTTAGCAAAAATGTGTTTTAAAACCAATTTTAAGACTTTAGATATTTAAAAAATAATAATTGCTTATATTTTTACTTCAAGGCATAAGCTTATGTTTATTTTAAAAAATAGGGATGATCAATCTATGTAACTATCTATTTCACTCACCTTGTTAAATCACCAGGCCTACAGAGTTGCCATAACTTTGCCACATCATAACCTGTCAAAACCCACTGGTAGTCATTCAGTTTGGAATGCCGAATAGTTATATCGATTGCTCAAAGCGGGTCGTTTACGAGCGGCCATATTGCCTGGCAAGTGCTCATTAATCAAAATTGATTTTGCAAAAATGTGTTTACAAACCAATATTTAGTCTGAATATATTAAAAAAATAATTACCTACATTTTTACTTCAATGCATAAGCTTATGTTTGTTTTGAAAAATATATGATCAATCTATGTAACTATTTCACTGACCTCGTCAAATTACCAGGCCTACAGGGTTGCCATAATTTTGCCATATCATAACCTGTCAAAACCCACTGGTAGCCATTTTGTTTGGAATGTGTAATGGAATGCTTCCTATTACATTTAAAATATTATTTTTCTACGATCACTAACTAAAGTAGGCTTTTGCGTTTCGAAATACAACCGCAAAGTTGATGTTTTCCACGAACTGGTCGTTTGTCGAGGGGAAAACTTGACCGCTTTGTTGCTCACCTAATTTAAATTAGATATAATATAATATTTCTTTTTAACAAATGATATTGAAATTATTTGTACGTAGTTACATGTTACGTGTCGCGCGGCAACTTTCTGTCTCAAGCGGCAAAGTATCACTTTCCGCTCAAATAGCTATTTCCATACCAGTGTTAAACAATAATTATGCGTTTTAAACATTTTTTTTCATATAATTTTTAAAATACAAAATTTTTCTTTCAATACATGACTACTCTGTTATACATTCCTAACATTTTTCAACTGCCTATTAATGACGAATTTCAAAATAAAGGGTGTTCCGTAATGAAGTTTCGATATTTTAACAGAAACAATATCACTGGAAGGAACATGCTCATGCACTACGAACCCTGAACAGACCACGAATTTACTCAGGGTTAGTAATAGAATGTTACGAAGCTTTGGCTGAAGAATCTATCAACAATGTGGTTACTTTAAGATGGATCACGCCACATCGAAATTTAACCATCTTGCTGATTCACTAGCCAAGAAAGCAGCCAATCAAATAGTTTTTGGACATGGCCCTTCTATTGGCCTGACAAAATCGGTAGTAACAGACCTAATTAAAGAACATTCCCTTGTGAAATTCAAGGAAAGATGGGATGAAACAAGAAACTGCAGAGTTGCCAGGGAGCTCTTAAATTATCCTGACAACACTGCAACAAACAAATACTTGACTATGACAAGACAGAATCTGCGCCTAGTCACAGGCATTCTGACTGGTCATTGCCAAGTACGGAAACATCTCCATATCATGGGGGTGTCAGAATACGTACTCTGCAGAGGGTGCGAACAAGAAGATGAGATCATCGAGCATATCCTTTACGATTGCTCGTTAAATCTGTAGGCTGGCTCACGAGCTAGGAGGTGCCTATCATCTTAGGAGTATGCACAATGGGCCTAGTGAGGCCTAAGTGCCGTAGCGGTAACCCGCCCTCCACACGTTACAGATACAGATATGAAGTTCCTATATTTTAACAGGATGTTCTACCAACCATTTAAGGGGATGTTTTTTTATAAAAAAAATCCAATTTGGGTCCTCTTTGTTGAGATTTTTTGTTTTCGTTTTGTTTTTTTCTTAGAAATTGTAATTTTAGTACACATTATCCTTTAAACGAATTGTATTTTGTGATGGTATCTCTTCTTTCAGAACATTTTTCTTTAAAAAATAACAATAAAATACTTTATCTTGTCATTTTAATGAAAGAGTAACCAAATTGCAAAATTTTATAAGAAAACTCTTATTAAATAATTGGTAGATTAATATTGGAACATGATTAAGGAACACCCTGTAGATAGTTGATCCAACTTGTGTGCTCTAATAACTGTTTTAGTTCCTACGTTTTACCATTGCTGGACAAAAAAGAAAAATTCCTCTTATTCGCCCACCATCAGGTCCTATTGAACGCCGTCGAGGATTTAGTGAAACGAAAAAACGTTAAGTACATTCGCATAGATGGAAATACTACTACGGATCAAAGAAAATATTTCATATCTAAATTCCAATTAGACGACAGCTACGTTTGCGCTATATTATCAATTACGGCGGCCAATGCTGGTATCACATTAACGGCCGCCAAACTGGTGCTTTTCGCGGAGCTGCATTGGAACCCAAGCGTAAGTTTTTTTTATATAAATAGAAGCATTTATTTGTATTACAATATAAACAATCAGCAATTTTATTTTAACATAATTTAAGCTAGGGTTGAAAAAGTTCAAAGACAACAACGGTAATCGCTGTACGGAAATTTTAAGATGAGAGTTTAATTGCATTTCATTATAGTTCCAAATTAATTTGAAAATGATAAAAGATAAAAACCTAAGATTTGGTAGACATTTTTTAAATAAGTTAGAGCAGTTGCTGACGCTAATATCAATAATGTAATTTCAAAAACAAAAATAAGCTCTTAAAAATCAATTACAATCACGTTGAAATCTCTTTTCTAATCGATTTAATAACGATAAAAATGGAGAACTAAGATACAAGCCGAAATTTCAAATAATATACGCGGCTATACCTTTGTCTACCTTTTTTACCAATAATTTTAGTTCACGCATTCGTTGACAGATGAAGAATAAGCGAGTCGACTTGTTTCCAGCACGAATTTCACACATTCTATTCGGAATATAGTTATTTTGATCATTTAAATCCAAAAGGAAAATGAAATGTGTACCGATTTCAAGGTACCTACCTGTAATTAAGATATGGCAATGTTGACAAATCGATTTGCGCTCTGTCTCTGTATTTGTGACTACATCGTATTTTAGATTTTCTTGTTTAATTTTGTGGAGCTATAACGTCATTTGTTATAATTTTCTTAAAAACTGTTCTAGAAAAATTAGAATTATTGTTAATTAGGATTAGAATTTGTATTTAAAGGGACTTTTTTAATATAAATTATCAGGTGTTCCGTTTATAAAATATTAATGGCGTCATAGTTCCTGAAATAGATCACGAAAAAAATTCATAACTACTAATAAGGTTCTTTCGTTCGTCCCACTGGTGTAGGAATGAACTGCACCAACGGACACTATATCTTTCGTTTGGCCCGGTGTAAAATCCTCTACACCTTCCTGCCGGCGATGTGGTGTCTACTGGTGGTTATTTTCTCCACCAGTTATTTGGCAGGAGTGAATTACTCGACATGTGTATAAGGAATAAGAAGGAAGTAAACTAGGTAAATAAGGTGGTGTAATTGACACTGGTGCACACTGCACCAACAACGAACGAAAGAACTTATTGATGCGTTTTTGAATTATTAACAAAATTTAGTTATCTATAGAGATTTTATCAATTTTATGTTGTCTTTTATAACACTATATGAATGGCTTTAAAAGAAGAATTCACTTTGACAATACGCCATATGCCGCGTTTAAAAATCCACATCCGAAGCATTTTTTACATCTCGAGCGTTTGTTTATCCACATCAGACACATTTACTACATCTACATCTGCGTTTGTTTATCTGAGATGTACCTGTCCAGATTACATTTTTTACATCTCGATTCGAAATGAGATGATAATGAGATGTTCGTTCCATGCCAGAAAGTAAGTGTTCTGTGAAGCCAAGTTTGTCAATTTATTCTTTGTTTATTGAATGAATAGATTAGATGATTAGATTAGGAGCTGGACGTTACTTGTCCTTGTCTACCGCGACCTTTTCAGATCTATTGTGGGACTCCGATTGTTCTAGAGTATGTCGTCTAGCTCGGTCTTTTTTATTAGACTTAGTAGCTTTGACAGTGGCTCTCGCATGTATTTGCATGCATTTGGCTTTTCTTCGCCCAATGTTAGAAACCTCATTCCAGCCAGGCCTTCACATTGGCACAGGACGTGGAATGATGTTTTCTCTTCTTCTTCACAGAACCTGCACAAAGTTGCTTCTTCTGCTGGATTTATGACCCTCATGTGCCTTTTGAGGCGACAGTGTCCAGTAAGAAGGCCTACTGTTATCCTAACGATTTGACGCTTTTGATCCAGTACGTCTTTCGTGAACTTGGCCGATGGTTCCTTAATGAACTGTTTGGCCTGTCTCAGTCTTGGATAGTTGTTCCACCATTCCTGAGACTCTTTTTGCATCCATTGTGTAATGGATGTCTTGCACAATGCCTTAGCAACTCCACAGAAGGGTTCAGGGCCTGTCATGGCCTTATCTGAGCCTTCTCGGGCTAATTCGTCGACCTTTTCGTTACCCTGATATCCTTCATGACCTGGAACCCAGGCTAGGGTCACCTTATTTTGACTACTTAGCTCTGCCAGGTCTTCTAGACAGTCTTTCACCAGTCGTGATTTGATTTCTGGTGAGAGAAGTGCCTTTAGAGCTGCTTGGCTATCAGAGTATATGGCAATAGTTTTGCCTGATACTTGCTGATTAAATATTTATCTTGCAAAGTGTTGTATGGCTATTAGTTCAGCCTGGAACACTGTTGCATATTTTCCTAAACTTAGCGAAATCGTTGTTTTCGACTTGGGTCCATAGATTCCAGCACCGGCTCCTTCCTTGGTTTTTGAACCGTCTGTGTACCAGACGAGTTCAGCCTGTACGGGAGGTCCCTGTTTCCAGGATTCTCGGGCTGGTATTTGAATTTGAAAATTTCTTTCAAATTTGTATGTGGTTATGGCTCTTGGAATATTATCCCTTTTTACTTGCTGATATAGCCTTATGTGGTCGGCGCTATGTAATTGGCTTATTGGGTTTTGTCCCTGCATTAGCCTGTGAATAGCTGACCTGGTTTCTCCTTGTATGAAGATGTGCAGTGACGTGAGATTTAGTAATACCTCCATTGCTGCAGTCGGCGTAGTGCGCATAGCCCCAGTAGCACTTAGACAGGCAAGCCGCTGAATGGTGAGTTGGCCTATTGCACTTGCCTGTGCAGTTTTGGTTACCCATGCTACTGCACCATAGGTTATCATGGGTCTTATTACCCTTGTGTATAACCATATGGTCATTTTGGGGTTTATACCCCAGTTTTTCCCACATATTCTTCTACAGCTTACGAGAGCTATTGTAGCTTTGTATGTGAGTTTTTTGAGATGTTGATTCCACGTCAGCCTTTGGACAAATATGACTCCGAGGTATTTGGCTTCTGTGACGAATGGAATAACTATTGTTTGGTACTAGTGGTCTTAGTCCTGTTAATACCCGTTTTTTTTGTGAAAGGTACAACTGTTGTTTTTTGTGCGTTAATGGACAATTGTTCCTTTTTGCACCAGTTGTTCACTATGTTTAGAGCTGTTTGGGATCGCTCCGAGACTGTGCCTGCAAATCGTCCCCTGACGATAATTGCTAGGTCGTCTGCATATCCTAGGCACTGGTAGCCTTCTTTGGACAATGTTTTGAGTAAGTCGTCCACGAGAACTGACCACAGCATTGGAGATAATATTCCTCCTTGTGGGCAGCCCCGTGTAACTTTTGCCTGTATGGTTGCCTTTCCTAGAGTGGATAAAATAATCCTGTTCTCTAGACAGGCAGTGATCCATTGGCATATTGTAACTGGGACGTTTCTCTCTTCTAGAGCCTTGGTTATTGCCCTGGTTGAGGCATTGTTGAAAGCTCCTTCGATATCTAAGAAAGTGGCTATTGCGATTTCTTTGTCATCTATTGACTTTGAAAGTAGCCTGTTTAGATCGTCCAGCGCTAGGGCAGTTGACTTTCCTGGCTGGTATGCATATTGGTTGGGATGGAGCGGATTTATTTTTAGTATCTCGTCCCTGATATACCTATCTATCAATATTTCTAGAGTTTTAAGTAGGAAGGAGGATAGGCTTATGGAGCGATATGACTTTGGCGTTTGGTCTGTGACCCTACCTACTTTGGTAAGGTAGACTACTTTTGCCATATTGCTGGGATATATCTCCAGGCAATACATGCTCTGAAGATTTTGCATAAATGTGGCATTAACACATCTTTACCCTTCTGGAGCAGAATTGGATATATTCTATCCGGCCCCGGGGATTTGTATGCCTTAAATTTGTTGATAGCCCAACTAATCCTGTTTGGTCTTGCAATCTCGGAGGCCAGCTTCCAGTCTGTTGGAGTTGGTCTGATCCCCTTGTGACTGTAGCTTTCTTGGTCTCCTAAATCTAGTCCTGTTAGGATAGTTGAGGCCGGAAAGTGCACCTGAGTTAGTATCTCTAGACTTTCCTCTAGTGTCGTGGTGTAGGTATCATCCTCTTTTTTGAGGAATCCTACTTGACTAGATGTACTCTCTTTGGCTATAACTCTATGGATTCTAGCGCTGGCGGTGGTCTCTGAGACCTCTTCGCAGAACTTTCTCCGCGCGTTTATTTTAGCCTTGCGTACTTCCTTGTTATACTCTGTGAGCTTGTTTTTATAAGTAGTCCAGTCTTGTGTGGATTTGGCTCTGTTGAATAGCCTTCGCACCTCGCCTCTTAGGCTATCTAGGTGTTTATTCCACCGTTTGGCATCTCTCTTTTTCGGGACAGTTTTCTTGGTAGGCATCAGTAATTGCCTTGTTTACCAAGTCTACTGTCCTTTCGAGTGTTTTTGTTTCTCGTACATTGGTGGTTTCCTCTTTGAGAGACTCATCGAGGGATTTTATGTACCCTTCCCAATTCGTCTCTCTCGGATTTCTAAACCTGTCTGTTGTACGAGTTGGACATTGTATATGGAATCGGATATGTCTGTGATCTGAACACGATGGTTCATCAGACACATGCCAGTCCCTGATTTGGTCATTTGTGCCTCTCGAATACATGGTCATATCTAGAACTTCTTTTCGGTTGGCAGTGACAAAAGTTGTCTTTATTGGCAATTTCTAACCCTTCACCTAGAATGAATTGTAATAGTGACTCACCTCTTGGATTGATGTTGGTGCTTCCCCAGATCGTGTGGTGTGCATTCGCATCGCATCCTATTATGAGGTTGAGTTTCTGCTCCTCGCAATGGGCAATGATTCTGCCTAGTATTGCTGGTGGGCATATTCTCTCCTCTCCCGGGAAGTAGGCATACAACATAGCCCTTCTCCCCTTTTTCCGTTTGGATTGATAGCATAGCTGTAACAAAATCACCTGCAAAGCACCGGCATTAGTGTACAATTAACCCTGTTGCTGTAGCATGAATATAAAAGTGATTAGTTTGTTTAATTTTTGTTTAGATTTCAAATTTAGGTTGATTTGTAGTCTCAAAAGTCAAATTTAAAAAGTATAAACTTCTAACTTGTCATTGACATTTTATCACGTGACCAATAAAGTTTAGAGCATTTGTTTATTACATCTACATTCAGATCTAATTATCTATCACGTGATAAAAAATTCACATCTCAGATGCATCCAATGTGGATATTCAAACGCGGCAATGGTAGTGTAACATAATTTCCTCGTCAATTTTCCCTATTTACTATTTATACAAAAAAAAAATGCAGACATAATATTGGAATTTTAATATAAACTGGCATGAGTGGTTTATACCCACACAGCGCTTTGACCTGACCTTTGCTAGCGAAAACGGGTAGCATTTATAGAAAATAGTTTTGAGTAAAATATTTTGATAAACAATAATGAACGCCGGTTGGTTTCCAAAATTGTAAGGGTTCTCACCTCTGATCAGGTCCTTTTTCAACTGCCGCTTTAACTTGTCACTAGCAATAATATCTACTTTAAATTTAACTTTACCTATTGGTTCAAAAATCTATAACAAATTAATTGACATCAAAACATTGTACCTGCGTATACAGCGCGGAAAAATTAATTTAAATTTGGAATTAGCCATGGATTTTTGTTGTTTTTAGATAATAAGCCAGGCGGAAGCCCGAGCCCACAGGATCGGCCAGGAAGACGAAGTGTTGGTTCAATATTTACTATGCCCCGGTACGGCTGATGACCAGATATGGCCGTTACTGCAAGAGAAACAACGCACGTTGAACGCTGTGGGGCTGTGCAGAGATTCGTTCGAATCGGTGGCTGTAAAACGACACAAATCCGGCGAAATTAAAATCGCTGACTGTCTAGATTCGAACGATTGCGGCATTAAGAGATACTTTTCGCAGGAGAAGAAAATAAAGATGGACAACGATCTGTTTGATGATGGATTAGACGAATTGTTAAGTAAAAGTGTTTTGTCTGGAGAACATTTAGCTAATAGTAATAACGGAGAAACCGAGAATATGTTAAACGATGGTCTGGACGATTTGCTCTGTGATATTGATTTTTAATACGTTTGTAATTATATATTTATTTTTTTTGGAAATCTTTTTATTTTTTCCTAGTCCTTCTATTTTGTACTTTATTTTGAAATTAGACCCAAAATCTATAGAACTTTTACAAATATTTGGCCATATTCTATTGTTCATTCGAATTTGGGTACATTTGAACTACTGACGCTATCAGTAATTGATTTATTATTATCTATTGCAAAAAAATTGTATTCGCGGAGGTTTCAAGATAAGGTATATGTATATTTAAACTATCAAAAATGCTACTTTTGTTTGCAATATAATGAGTATATTAGAACTAGTAACTTTCACATATATTTTTAAAAACGCAAATAATTAGTTTTTTGAGATATATTTAAACTGCCACAATTTAATTATTAAAAAACAACTTAAATAGATACATTTGAGCTACTGTAATTTTTTTTTTAATTTGGTGTCATCGGCGTCGACTACTACGGCCATTAGCCTTGTGTTCTGTGTAGGCTTTGTTACTGTTTCCCAGCGCCACTTTAGGAACAGCACTGTTAATTAGAACCCAACAGTGAATGGTCGAGTGGGGAATCCTACCAAGGCATCAGAATTAATTTTAAATAATTAAATTAAATGAAAAAATCCCGGCCAACGGTGGGATTCGAACCTGAGACCTTCCGATCTCAAAGTCATGGCTCTAGCCACTGATCCAACCCACCCCCCGCTACTGTAATTTATGTCTTTTTATTATGGTACATTTGAACTACTGACGCTATCGAGAATTTATCCAGTAGTATGTATTATATTCACTGTAAAAGGTCGTGTTTGGAAGTTTTGAGGTAAAGTACGTTTGAACTACCCCAATTAAAATATTAAAAAAAAACTGATTTGAGTTTTATAAAGTGAAATACATTATTTAAACTACCGACGTTCACATTTACTTTTTAAAAACGCCAATAATTCGTTTTTTGAGGTACATTTAAACTACCGTGATTAAAATGATAAAACATTAAGTTTTTAGGGTTTATAAAATGAGGTAAATTTGAATTACTGTAATTTATATTTATTTTGTTTTATGGTACATTTGAACTGCTGAAGCTATCGATCATTAATGTATCTAGTAGTATCGGGTCGATGGTGTAGCGGTCTAACGCGCTTATATTCATTTATGGGCAAGTTTATGAGTCCGAGACTGCTGGGCTTCGAATGCCAGACCAGACCATGTGGATTTTTAATTAAATTGCATGGTTCGGTTTAGGATTTGATGTGTGCCGTATTAATAGAAATTCAATTTCTATTGATATGACATGCAGATTATAAAATCGCCATACATTATCGTTTCGATGATGGTGGGTGAGGTTTTCCTCACCTGTAAGTCAAATGGCACCATCAATCATCCTTAAGTCGCCCCGGAGCGCCACGGCAAACAATAATAATAGCCGTCCCTTCCCCTACACAAGTCGTTCAGTCGACTTCAGGGGTTGAAATTCACTCGTAAGGGGGTGAATTAGGGAGAGTATTATTATTATTATATTATATATTAACTATAAAAAAACCGTATTTGGAAGTTTTAAGGCAAGGTACATTTGAATTGCCGCAATTATTGAAGTATTATAAAAATATACATTCGTTTTTGAGGTTTATAAAAGGGAGGTACATTTGAACTACTAACTTTCACTTTATTGTATATTTACTTTTAATTAGGGTTTATTTAAACTACTCTGGCTCTATCGGTTTTTAATTTATCCAGGAGTACCTATGTATGTATATTCACTGTAAAAAATCGTATTTTGGAGTTTTTAAGGTAATGTATATTTGAACTACTGCATTTGAAATATTTTTTTAAAATACTTGTTTTGTTTGCACATTTGAACTACTGGCGTTCGTCTCCACTTTTACCACCCCCTATTATTCGATTTTGATGTACTTTTGAACTACCGCAGTTGAAATATTTAAAAAAGTTGTTTTTGGCGCTTAGGTACATTTGAACAATTAATGCTCACTTTTTAAAAGTTTTAAATTTAATGTATAAAACTATTATATAGGGTGTTTCAGAATAAAGTACCGTAAACTGGGGGATTTGTAGATAGATTTATTTAGTTTTCATGTTTGAGTAGGACTAAAACTGAAAAATCTTGGAAATGAAATGTTCTACAGAGATCAACCAAAAGTCTCTTTTTGTGACATATTGCTTAACGAATAATTATTAATCTTAACTTTTATCAAATATAGGATGTTCAAAAAGTTTGGATGAAAATTGTTTTCATAACGCTTGATTCTACGCCAATGGGTTATCGTAATTTTTCGAAATAAAGTGTGTTAACTAACATATACATATTTTTAAGTTAAAATCTTTACCACTGGGACGTTTACAGGAAAATTTCTGGCATCAATAGAAAACCAATTAAAATCGTTCATTTTCAGTCACGTGTATCAGCATATCCAATCAACTCTGACTTACACTGATAAGTTCCCTAGGGGTGTTATCACTTAAGTCAAGTTTGCACCAAACAAACCATTATGTATGTACTATTTCGTCTATTTTTTATTCAGCTAAATAATAAAACTCAAAATTAATTGGACATTTCGTCCAATATTTTAATAATTATTTATTAAAAAGGTTCACATTCATAACTGTTTCTTATTTCATTATCAATTAGTATTTAATACGAACGTTAATCTGGTGTACCCTATATGTAAACCAGGTTTAATGACATTTCTAAAAATCTAACTTTTTATACTTTCAAATTTATTTATTTTTAAATGTCTCGATTTAGTAAAATTAATCAAAATATTGATAATTTAATCGAAGAAAACTCCAATAAATACGGCTAACAGTAAAACATATATATTTGATATTGAAGGATTGGGCAATAAATATGAGAAAAAAGATGATACCGACTTAAAGAATGTACAGTCAAGACTTTATGGACTGTAACTATGTAGTAAGTTACTTCTTATTAAATAAATGAGCTAAAATGTGGCAAAAATTTTCTGGCCGAATACCCCTCAGCCAGAGATAAATACTCATATTTTTTTTTAAATACCTCAAGCACGTTTATTAAGGTAATTTCCCTCCGTCTACGGAGTCGGGAAGTTACCAAGCTTTCAGTAAGTAAAAAAATATTTCAAATTATCGCTGTCCTTGGGATATTTTTACTGAAAATTATATTTAGCTTTTCTTACCAATTAGTAAATATCCTCTAGTTTACGGTTCTTTATTGTGAAACACCCTGTATAATAATGAAAAAAAGATTTATTTGTTTTTGAGTTTTTAAGGTACATTTGAACTACTTCAATTGAGATAAATAAAACACGTGAATTTTAAATATCTTTATTTTTATGATTAATTTCGTGTAACTTAACCTGATACTGATACCTTAAACCTACTTTACAAATATCACAATTAAACAGACTCTCTCTAAAATGTCTTCGCAAGTGGTAAGCGTAACTGATGGCAGTTTTGCAATACCGCTTGCAGTAATTGCACCTCCTGCTGGCCATATTAAACCTATATCTATTAAAGCACGGATGATTTCTGTATACGGAATCGAACTGAAACGACATTTTGCACGCCCTGCATTTCCGTTTCTTTTGATGATGGACCAATTTGTGAACGCGCAACGATTCTTTCGATTTGTACGTTTTGTCGCACAAATCGCAACCGAACGGGCGTTGTTTCGAATGAGTAAATGTGTGTTTTCTCATGATCGATTGCTTCTTGAAACGTTTATCGCACAGCTCGCATTTAAAAGGTCGCTTTTCTGAATGTATTGGCATGTGCTTATTGACGCTTTGCTTCGTTCTAAAAGCTTTATCGCAAATTTTACAAGTGTAGTTCTTGATATTCGCGTGAACGTTCAGATGATCTGTAAGATCCCGTTTCGAAGAAAACGTTTTCGAACACAAATCGCATTTGAACTTCTTATAATCCTGTTCGTGACGCTTCATATGCGCTTTCAGGTATCTCCGGAATTCGAAGATTTTATTGCACACCTCGCAAATATAATCCTCCCTAACGGCCTCCTCCAAATGGCTCTTTTTGTGGTTCTCGATCGATTTATCGTCATAAAACACCAGGCTACAAATATCGCAGGATCTAGGTCGGTGCATTTTTTCTATATGGTCCTTCAAGCCAAAATAAAACGTTTTATTACCGCAATACTCGCAAATTCCTGAAGCTTTTTGGTCGATGTGTGTGTTGCGATGGGTGGTGAATGACTCAATATCCGGCATTCGCTCGCCGCAGACTTGGCATTTGAGCGGATCGATGTCCCTGTGGATGGCGATGTGTTGCTTGAGGGCTTGCTTGCTGGTGAAGCTCTCCTTGCAAAAGTGGCAAACGAACGAACGGACCGTTTCGTGCATGACGCGCACGTGCCGTCTTAGACTGGTGGCCGTTGCGAAGACACCTTCGCAGATCTGTAAATAAAAACGTAAACCGAATCAAATAGTAAGTTAGTAAAGACATGTGTTGCTCTATATACACTATTAATAACTTAGTTCCAAAATTCAAACAACAATGGAATAAAACTTTCTAATAAGTCAAACAAAACACCCTGTATTATGACTAAATTATGTTTAATTAAATTGCGAGGTTCGTTATAGGATTTGATGTGTACCGTATTACCAGAAATTTAATTTCTGTTGATATGACATCCAGATTATAAATCGCCATGCGTTACCGTCAAATGGCACCATCAATCATCTTTATGTCGTCCCGGAACGCCACGGCAAATAATAATAATAATGAAATTCACTTATAAAGGGGATGAATAAGGAAAAGTATTTTTTTTAATTTGGTGTTGACACCATCTACACCGATCTGTCAAAAGCTTTTGACAGTGTCTATCCTGAATTGCTACTCAAGAAACTCCGAAATCGGTATATCTGGTTCTTATTTTTACTGGATTAAATCTTACTTGAGTAATCGGTGTCAACGTGTCATAGTGCATAATTCCGTATCATGTGACGTTTCAGTCCTATCCGGTGTTCCTCAAGATTCACATATAGGTACCCTATTGTTTTCTTTATTCTTTAATGCTGTTACGTCCTGCTTTCTTAA